AAAAATCAATCTGCTGTATGCATGTACAGTGTACATGTACATGTAGCTAGAAAATTTGATGTAGCAACATACATGTACATGTACATTATGTATTCAGTAAATCAAGCTTCATTCATCAATATTTTAACAATGGGTGATTTGTTGTAGTGCAAAATTTCAGAAATCGGCTCATTTTAAAATAGCCGAAATTCAAAAAGTTTTTGTCCAAAAATCGTCCAAAAATTTCTACATAGCAAAAGGACATTAGAAAATGTAATAAAAATTGGAGGTGATTTTTAGACATTTTTTGGAAAAACCATGGGCTGTAGTACAGGGTAATTTGCAGATGGTCAAATGTTTGTCAAAATTTTAATGGAAAGCATTCTGCCAGAATTCTACACTCCAAATTTCTATATAACTATGCATACATTACATCACATTAGTTGTGTAAACTAATATTATGTAAACCATTAGTCCATTACATAACATTACATAACATACATTACATTAAAATTCACATCATACATGTACATGTACATGTACCTTGTTTATTGGCCTCAGTCAGTGCCTCCTGTAGTGATACTTTGTTCTCATGAGCCACTTGTAGTTCTTGATGTAAAGACTGGATGTATCTCTGAAGCTTTATTTCCTTCTCTGTGGGATATTCTATTAGCTGATCCATCTCCCATGTTCTGGTCTTGCTGTATGATGAATACTTTTCTTGATATTTCTTACTAGTGAGATCATTACCATCCAGTACTGACTGTACTATCCACTCACCAGCTTCAATATATACTGAAATAAGGAACAATAATAAATTAAAAAGATGCTATCTTAATAATCATTATTTTACCTAATTCAATTATCATTGTTAGCCTATTGGTATCAGTGATAAATGTACTCATCAGCTCCTCCACTCCTCCTCCAACATCTTTCCATTCAAACTCTTTACATCCTCCAACAATTACCAGCCACACACAGTGTGGTGACATTGTGACTGCTGTGAGTGAGTGACTGTATCTACCAGTAACAGATTCAGGTAGAGGAATCTGTAGACAATGAGAAATAATTACAATATACATGTACCGTACTTGCCCTAATTAATGCACCTTTTGATAAATAATAATTTTTTACATCATAGATATACATGTAATACACAGAACAGGATTAGAAACAGGATCACGTGAGCACATTATCCATTGAAACACTCCTAGTTTGCCGGAAACTGGTCCCGTAATGGAGATGAATGGAGATGTACTTTGTGGGACTCTCCAGACGATATCTGATAGTTTCATAACTAAATATCTGCTTCTATGGTTACTTCTTAACCTCTTACAGTGCACTGTGGTGTTTGTTATGGACTGCGTTTAATAGTTTTAGAGTACTGACGCCATTAAAATATGGCCTTTGGTTTCAACATGCCGTAACTTTCTAAAACTTCTGTGTAAGCACTAATAAATGTCTTAATGCACTAAAGATCCTCAGAGAGTAGCCATAAAAGCTCATACTAGTGTATCTCGCTGTCTTCTGAAGTTGCTAGAGTCCCACAAACTTTTTGAAAAGGGACAGTCGGGGGCCCCGGCAATAGTCGAGCAGCTGCCGGGGCTCCGATATAACTAGGAGTGTTTCAATGGATAATGCGCTCACATGATCCTGTTTCTAATCCTGTTCTGTGTATTATATCTACATGTATGTTTACATCTCTCAGGTCAGGTGGTGCATTGTTTAGATAGGAACAATTATGAATTGCTCCAGGAGGTGCTTGTTTAGAGAGGTGCTTAGCAAAGTACTCAATACACCTGTAAACAATGGGACTTTCTAATTACAATGCACCTCTCAGAAATACCGTATATCGTGTATATTTCAATGCATTAATAATTTTGGAAAAAAGCAATGGGGCATATTCATCACTCTGATTTGAATAATTAGA